TGCTGCAGGGGGGGAGTTTATGCAGCTCCCGTCTAGACCATGCCTGGCTCTAACCAGAGCTATCAGCCTCTCACATATATGCAAGCAAGTGCTACGCTATTCATACTAAAGGAGCATCCCTGGTGTCTATAGGGTGCACAAGAGAGGCTCTGCAGGCTAGTGCATTAGGAGAGCTGGGTTCTCTTCTGGGCTGACTCTGACCTGTGTGTGTGTGTGACCTTGGGCAAAGCACCTCCCCTCTTTGTGCCTCACCTTATCTCTGTTTTACAGATTGGGAATGATACTCCCCTTCTTTGTAAAGAGCTTTGAGGGCTCTGGATGAAAATGCCAGGGGACACATATTGTCCTGAGTGACCCTGCAGCTCACCAGGGTTTCCCAAAGCAGCATTCCCAGAAGATGGCTGTCTGTCATGGCCGACCCTAAGAACTCCACTGAAGAGATTTCCTAGCAAGTAACTTTGCGTAGTTCCTCTAGGCAAGATCTGAAAAGACTGAGGCCCTCCTTGAAATGTTCCACTCCCAGTTGTACGCCTATTGTCTGGCTGGGTGCTGCCTTCCGCCCCCGAGTTGGCTGCCTTTCAGTTGTGGTTGAAGTGTTAGCCGTTATGCCTAGATTCTGCAAACACTGACTTATCGCAGGCGTAACCTGATGCGTGATTAGTACCCTGGAACTCGGTGCAATGACGAATGTGTGTGTTTGCAAGGTCAGGGGCATAAGCTGAAATGCACTTTGGGGTCTTCCAGTGTGAGCTGTTGTGCCTGCAAGGAGAATAGAATATACTGGGCCTGGGATGATACAAAGCTGGGAGGTATTGCCAATTTAGAGAAGGACCGGGATATCCTACAGGAGGATCTGGATGACCTTGTCAACTGGAGTAATAGTAATAGGATGAAATTTAATAGTGAGAAGTGTAAGGTCATGCATTTAGGGATTAATAACAAGAATTTTAGTTATAAGCTGTGGATGCATCAATTAGAAGTAACGGAGGAGGAGAAGGACCTTGGAGTATTGGTTGATCATAGGTTGACTATGAGCCGCCAATGTGATATGGCTGTGAGAAAAGCTAATGCGGTCTTGGGATGCATCAGGCGAGGTATTTCCAGTAGAGATAAGGATGTTTTAGTACCGTTATACAAGGCACTGGTGAGACCTCACCTGGAATACTGTGTGCAGTTCTGGTCTCCCATGTTTCAGAAGGATGAATTCAAACTGGAACAGGTACAGAAAAGGGCTACTAGGATGATCCGAGGAATGGAAAACTTGTCTTATGAAAAGAGACTCAAGGAGCTTGGCTTGTTTAGCCTAACTAAAAGAAGATTGAGGGGAGATATGATTGCTCTCTATAATTATATCAGAGGGATAAATACCGGAGAGGGAGAGGAATTATTTAAGATCAGTACCAATGTGGACACAAGAACAAATGGATATAAACTGGTCATTGGGAAGTTTAGACTTGAAATTAGATGAAGGTCTCTAACCATCAGAAGAGTGAAGTTTTGGAATAGCCTTCCAAGGGAAGCAGTGGGGGCAAAAGATCTAACTGGCTTTAAGATTAAACTCGATAAGTTTATGGAGGAGATGGTATGATGGGATAACATGATTTTGGTAATTAATTGGTCTTTAAATATTCATGGTAAATAGGCCTAATGGCCTGTGATGGGATGTTAGATGGGGTGGGATCTGAGTTACCCAAGAAAGAATTTTCTGTAGTATCTAGCTGGTGAATCTTGCCCATATGCTCAGGGTTTAGCTGATCACCATATTTGGGGTTGGGAAGGAATTTTTCTCCAGGGCAGATTGGAAGAGGCCCTGGGGGTTTTTTCGCCTTCCTCTGTAGCATGGGGCACGGCTCACTTGCTGGAGGATTCTCTGCTCCTTGAAGTCTTTAAACCACGATTTGAGGACTTCAATAGCTCAGACATAGGTGAGAGGCTTTTCACAGGAGTGGGTGGGTGAGATTCTGTGGCCTGCGTTGTGCAAGAGGTTGGACTAGTCAATCATAATGGTCCCTTCTGACCTTAGTATCTATGATTCTCCACTGCCCCGTGCTGTGTGTGGTCATATACCTCAATCAGCCCTCCCATGATCCCATAGCATTTGCACCTGCTGTGTGCTGGGGTAAATAACTGCATGAGGGCAATAGGAAATCAGCCCCCACGTGTTTATCTCACTCGGATTTGTAGGTAGCAGATGGGGAAGTGGATGTGCCTAATAACTGAGTCACGGCCCTAGCTGGTAGCTTCCGCAAAGGCAGAAGGGATGTGAATAAGGAGGGATGTGCGTGTGTGTGAGGAGCAGCATCTGCCATTAACACTGATTCCAGTCTGGTTTCCGATGCCAAGAATCTAAAAGAAAATCAATAGATTGGCTCGTCCTTGGGCTTGGCATTTCCCATCTCATTATAGGCCGGAATCCGAGCCTTATAGTTTCATGAGTCAAAGCCGGGGGAGGCCCTGTGGTGTCAACTTGCACGCCGCTGCCTTAGGGAGGCCATGCTGGTGTATTAGTGCCTCTCCTCTGGAGCTGCTGCTGGCTCCTGCTAGCACAACAGGAAAGGGAAAAATGAAGGCAGCTGATTGAACAGCATCTTGCTTCATTAACCCCAGCAGCCTCTGCCATGCAAATGAGAGGGGAGCGTGTATACCCTGACATTGAGGGGAAAAGGTGCTGAGTTTCTCTGGCTTAATTTGATCCTGGAATAGGGGAGCATCCCAAATGTCTGGGATGAAATTTAATGGTGCAAAGTCCAAGGTCATGCCTTTAGGGACTAACGACAAGAATGGTCGCTATCAGTTGGAAGCGACAGAGGAGGATAAAGACCTGAGGGTTTTGGTCAATTACAGGATGACTGGTGGTGTGATGAGGCTGTGAAAAAAGTCTGATGCAATCCTAGGATGCATCAGGCGAGGTATTTCAGTAGAGATACGGCAGTATTATTAACATTATACAAAGCACTGGTGAGACCTCATCTAGAATTCTGTGCAATTCTGGACTTCCATGTTTAATAAGGACGAATTCAAACAGGAACAGGTGTAGAGAAGGGCTACTAGGATGATCAGAGGAGTGGAAAACCTACCTTATGAAAGGAAACTTAAGGAGCTTGCTTGTTTAGCCTAACAAAAACGAAGGCTGAGGGGAGAGATAATTGCTCTCTATAAATACATCAGAGGGATAAATACCAGAATGGGAGAGGAATTATTTAAGTTAAGGGCCAATGTTGGCACAAGAACAAATGGATGTAAACTGGCCATCAATAAGTTTAGGCTTCAAATTAGACAAAGGTTTCTAACCATCAGAATGAAATTCTGGAACAGCACCCCAAGGGGAGTAGTGGGGTCAAAAACCTAACTTGTGAGCTATGGAGAGCATGGTATAATGACGTGTCCTACAATGGCACATGGCCCATCCATGATGGCTATTAGCAAATATCTCCAACGGCCAGAGATGGGACACTAGATGGGCAGGGCTCTGAGTTACTACAGAGAATTCTTCCCCAGGTGTTTGGCTGGTGGGTCTCACCCACAAACTCAGGGTCTAACTGATCATTATTTTAAGGGTCGTGAAGGAATTTCCCCCTACAATAGATTGGCAGAGACCCTAGGTTTTTTTTCCACCTTCCTTTGCAGCGTGGGGCAGGGATCACTTGCTGGTTTGAACTAGAGTAAATGGTGGATTCTCTGTAACTTGAAGTCTTTAAATCAAAATCTGAGGACTTCAATAATGTAACCAGAGGTTATGGACCTACTGCAGGAGGGGGTAGGTGGGTGAGGTTCTGTGACCTGTGATGTGCAGGAGGCCAGACTAGATGATCATGATGGTTCCTTCTGTCCTTAAAATCTATGGATCTGTGAGTTGGGTATTGGATATTGGGGGACAACATCTGACCTGTCAACTCCCTCCCCTCCCATATCTGTCTGCAAAGTCAATGAAATTTGTGTTTGTTTTGTGGGGGAAATGATAGAAGGGGTGCTCATCTCTACTCTTTGCTCCCCGTCCCCCAAAGCCAATCCATGATAGCAGCAGCCCCCAGACTCATCAGAATTTCCATGCAGTGCCAGCACTAGGGAGCAACCTTACAAACACGGCAGAGGGGCAAATAAAAAGTGGCCCAAAAACTGAATGGAGACTGAACTCTCCTCTGTTGCCTAGAGGTGGCGTCTCTCCAGGCACTTTGTCCCAAATCCTAAAAGATAGGAGCCTAAATACTTTTGAGGATCTAGGCTCTTGTCCATCACAACCAGAGCCTGGATTCCAGCGGGACCTTGTGGCATTTCAAATAAAGCCACTGTGTGCTAGAGAGGATACAATGCTTGCTACAGGAAAGGGACTCTGGGGATTAGGTTTAATATTTAGGAGGATGTTTGGTTCATGGATTGATTCTGCCAATGTGCATGCCACTTAAAATGTCACTGCACATTGTTTTAAATCTCTCTCTGCAGCCATGCATCACTGCATGATTTTTTCCTAGCTTTTTCCTCTAGCAACATCGGCTGCTGTGATGTAAGCCAGACTGGACAATTGGAGGTGGCTGAAGTAGCACTCATTTAAAGTTGACGAAGAACTGTTACAGTACTGGCCAGGGACTTAAGAGATCTGGCTTCAATTCCCAGCTCTGCCACAGAATCCCTGTCTGACCTTGGGCACGTCACTTATGGCCAGACTCATAAAGGTATTTAGGTGCCTAAGAGGCAAATTGGCACCTAGCTGGATTTTTAAAAGCATTTTGGTTCCTTAGGTGCTTTGGAATATCCTATCTGCATCCTTAGGTGCTTAAATACCTTTGCAAATCTGTCCCTTAATCTCTCTGGGCCTTGGGTCCCCATCTGTAAAATGGGGATAATAATGTTTCCTTTGTCTGCCTTGTCTATTTAGATTGTAATTTCATGACTGGTTATTCAACCATGAGTTGTTGGGCTAGATGGAGGAGGTCAGACTAGATGATCACAGTGGTCCCTTCTGTGTAACATCTATAAAATATTCCACTTAGAGAGAATGAGGATAGGTTTTAAAAAATTTATTTATAATATAAATAAAAACATAAAATTACCATAGTTTACATCAGTCACCAGAAATAACATCTAAAAACCTGCAGAAAAAAAGTAATATCTAATATATACAGACTAAAACCTGGCCTCGCCCCGTGGGTGGGTGGGACAGCATAGCAGTTACTCATATGCCTAAGAGTGACACATTGGCAATGCATACAGTCAAAGTCAAACACAGCATTGTGCAAAGGCAGCATCTCCAGTCAATCACATTGTACAGCGCTTGTGGAAGATACAGGGCTGGTGATACAAGGAATTCCCATGGGTGCCATTGAAGTCAATGGGACCGTGCCCCTTGACTTAAATGAGGAAGGAGCAGGGCCTTAATGAGACATGAGCTGGTGCCCTGTGGGAAAACTCTTGATGGGATCCTGGTCAGGAACAATTTTGCTCTTCTTGCATCGTGTATCGTTTGCATCTCTTGGGCCATTTGCATCTGGCGCTTACCCATCAGCCTCCAGTAGGTGTGCTATAGCTCAGCCACAAGAGGCAGGAATTGCTGGGTGGAAAAGTCTCTGGCCTGTGTTCTGCAGGAGGTCAGACTAAAATCTGGATTATTCTAGAGGGAACCAGGGATAAATCACAAGCCAAAGGGACCAGGATAAGTCACAAGACTCGGCCTTTAGGCTCGGAATAGTCTTGCTCCATTATATTTTTTTTTCTTTTGTTCAAATTATATCCCAAGCTGTCTTTCTAGAAGATATGGGTAAAATCTAGAGCCTAGGGTTTGAAATCTGAAACTGGATCCAAATTTTACAAATAGCCTTTATCTTTCTACTGGGTCTATCAAAACCACCCTGAAGTTCTAGGTGTTCAGAATCCAAATGCAGATGTTGTAGTTTGAGGCTCTCTCTGAAGAGCTGTATCATTTACTTCCCAATCCTGTATTTGCACCTGTGTGGTGCCCTGGAGACTTCAACAGGGTTCTGTGTGGGTTACAGGATACAAAGCATATGCGTGCAATTGCAGGCTCAGAGCCTTAATATACCCTGAACTTATCTGTGCACCAATGGGAGGTAAGCTTTCTGTAATGCTATAGGTCTTATGTGTGGATTGCACTACCTACCTCTCATCATGAGGATCTGCAACATCGCAATCGTGGCCCTATCTTTCAGAGGTGCTCAGCACCTGCTGCTCCCGTTAACTTGGGTGCAATTCATGGGTGCTCAACACCTCTGAAATTCCAGCCCAGGGTTTGGTATTGAAGAGCAAGCTGAAAACAGACACTTGGTGCCACTTGCTTGTTTTTTTTCATTTGAAAAAAGAAGGCATCAGTGCAACATTAAAATGTGGAAATCTTCCTGATCAGACTGTTTGTTTTTTCCAGGAGGAATCCGCTGTATTTAAGGCAAATACAACCACCCCTTTCTGTAAGAGGTTATCTTGGGCACTACAGATATAAGGAACCATTTGTTGGTTCCAAGTTATGATCATTTTAATTGCTAGTTGCTTGGATCCTCCCTGCCTCAGTGTGCAGCGTGTCAGAGAGGCAGTGAACGCATGACACATGCGTGGGGTGGAGGGGAAGCAAATCTGTTGGGAGAAGAACACAATATCTTACAGAAAAATGTCTGCAAACTCGCATCACCTCCCAACAGAAAATCTCTAAGGGGAAAGGCAAGGAGGAACTGGAACTGGATCTGCCTTGTCTGAAAGATCTGATGGATTTACTCTGTAAGGGTGGCAGGGGGACTTATTCCTAGAGATGGCTGGTATGCCAAAGATGCTCGCTGCTCCTGGGCTGAAGGAACAGCATGACTGTGGGAAACAGTCAACTCCTCCTTCAGTAAAGAAGGGCTCGAGACACAAAGTATCCAAGCCTCCCTGAAGTTTGTGGAAATTTAGCACTAGGAGACGTGATTCTCTTTTCCCCTGAACCTGGTGTAGTTATTTGCACAACAGTGCAAAGTCTGAGCCAAACCAGAATGGGCTCAGTCGTGTGTTCTGGGAGTAAAGTGGAGGTGGGGGAGAGACCCCTTCCTCCCCTGCAATTGTTACACAAGTTCCAGCCATGCATGTATGGGGGAGAACAGCAGCTCTCCCCCTCTGGTACAGGGGGTGCAGCCAAAGCTGTTGCACAGGCCTGAATATCGGAGCCAATACAGATGGAGAAGCAGGGATGAGGCTGTGACTCTCAGATTCAGCATCTAATTTCTGGCCAGATCCTGGGACATTACAGGTGAGCACTGTCCCTTGCTTGGGCTGGCTTGCAGAATACAAATCCAGCCCAGTGGCTTTGCATTGGTGGAAATGACTATGCAAAATGCAGGCCCACGGAGAATCAGTGCATGGTGGATGGGCTGGAGCCTTTCCTACCCTTGATTGTTGGGTTCTGATTTTTGGGGGACTGCCCAGTAGATGGGACGGTGGTGGTGGCCAAAGCCTTTTCTCTAACCCATCAGAGGAAAAGACTAGTGTGTGCTGCCCACCTGTCACGTTTGAGCCAAATGTAAATAGCTTCCAGAACAACACCTGGTTTTGCTTTGGTTGGGGAAACACACAAGGCACAGATCGGTTTCAGAGTTTAGAAGCTGGTAGGCTGGGGCACTGGCAATAGGATGGAAAGTCCATTCACCTCTCCAGCTTTGGCTTAGGAATTGGATAGCTCAGAGGTGACGGCCTCTACCTCATCAGTTTGAATTCATGCCCAGACAGTTGTGGCTGAAGGCTGTGCACCAGCCCACGTGAAGTGAGTTTGGTGGATCTCGGCCCAGTTCCTTTGGGGACCAATGTCCCCGCTCCACTACAAACCCCACTGCAATTGGCACAAATCGGTCTCCTGACTGGCAGGCTTGGCTAGGAGAGAAACCAGCGGGCGATGGAGACTAAACTCTCCTTGCATTCCTAGAGGAGCAGGGGTTCCTTCGAAGCCACAGGCAAAGCATGGTGGGAACGCAGCATGTCACGGACTCCTGACCTCCTGCTGTCCATCCCGTACCTGCTCCGTGGATAGAAGCTTCTGGCTTCTGCTGAGCCAGCTTTCCTGGGCACTAAAATTCCCAATGCCTTGAAAAAGGTGTTCAGAGGCTTGTGGCTGAGAATTCTGTTTCATGCTTTCTGGCCCCTGCAGAACCTGCCCTCACAACAGGATCAAACGGACACCAATGTGAGGACAAGGAAGCCCAGTTTGCTCACAGCAGCGTTTGGCAGCTGCTGAGTGCAGGAGGGCTGGTTTACATGCTGGAGTTTTGTAATCCTCCATTAAAGGCTGGGGGAAGATTTAAGACTTGGACTAGAAAACAAAATGAAATCCTTTTCTCTTACAAGCTCCTGTCACCCACTGGGCCTGGAACCCACTGACTTAATGGCATGGAGGGGAATAATAAGGCAGTCAGCATTCAATAGGCGGGAACATGTGGGGGAATCAGAGAGAGAGCAGGGAAGCTGCCTCCTAGCTTGACAAATGATCACTATTGAGCCAGGTTTCTCCCTGGGGTAGCAACACTGGCTTCAGAGGGGATTCTCCAGAGATGAGTGTGGTTTGGAAATGGTAATTTATGCATGTTTTGACTCTGGAGGGTATATCCTTAAACCCAGCTTCCTGGCTGGCATGTGGAGAAGAAGGGAGGACGATAATAGAGTAGCCTTTTCCCCTTGGAAACCTGGGGCCTGATCCCCCATTGCCTTGCGTCTTTTGCAGTTATTTATGCTGGTGTAAAGAACTACCATTCGGATATGGCAGCTTTTCACACTCACTTGTACTTGGGACAGTGAGCACACACGGTACAGGACAATGGAGAATTAACTCCTTGAGCTCCAAATCTTCATCAGGTCACACGTGAGAGGAGTTTCCCAGGGCTCAGTTTAAGTCCTTCACTAGTATTGGTTCACATAGCCACCCCGCTCCCTAGCTAGGTGAGACTTGATGCAATTCATCCAGGACTGGAAAAATGGAGTGATGCAGGTCAGGATGGAGGTGCACCTGCAGGGCAAAGAGGGGACCACAGTAGCAAAGGCTCTTCTGGGGCAGGGATATGACACAATGGCAGTGAAGGGTGGGTCTGTTCAGCACTGCAATATCAGGGGTTATTCTGGGTCAAGACCTGCAGTCCCACCTTTGTGTGGGTTCCCTTACGGCTAGAACAGCACAGAGAGACGGAGGTCAGGATCAAGGTGCATTGGCTCAGCTATGTGTGGGGATTTTCTCTCTTTTCCACATGAGCACTAAAATCCAAGAAACCAAAGAAAGCTGTAAATATTTGGTAGTGGTTTAGAAGGTTGTTTTTAGGAACAATGGACCCTTGTGCCAGTGAATCTAAAACAGGTGATGGCCAAACTCCAGCAGCTGCCAGCTGGTGGATCTTGACAGTAGCCAACTTGGCCTTGACCCCCACCTGTGCCTGACTGGCATATTAAAATATAGGGATCTGAACTGTAAAGAGTATATTTAGCAGCTGTTGAGGGCCAAGCTTCTTTCCTGCAGCATCTCCCTTTACTAGCCTGAACTTTGATCATGGAATGGGAGGGGGGAACAACACAAATAAAAATGACCAAAATGATGGAAAAAATGAGATGGACTGATATTTTGGTAGCTCCCAGCTCTGAGATGAGAGAGACAACAGGAAGAACACAGGGCAGGATTTTCAAGGAGTGCTTTTGGCTACATGGCTTTGAATTTTATGCACCCAGTATAAGGTGGGAAGTCTAATTTCCCCAAAGCACAGACTACCCCATCCTCCTCAGGCAACCAGACACAAAAAGCAGCAAGGAGCTGAGCTGGACTGGTCAAAATTTGTTAAACAAAAAATATTTTAGGTGGAAAGTGGCTTTTATTCCTAACATGGAAATCTTTGCAAAAAAAAATATCATTTGTAAAAAAAAAAAAAAAAAAAAAAAATAGCGTGTGTGTGTGTGTGTGTGTGTTTTTTTTAATGAAACCTGTAAACTAAACATTTGGGGATTTGGTGTTTTCAGTTTGTTTTTCCTTTTTCTCCCCTTCTCCTTTTAATGACAGAAGGAGGGAGAGGGTAGGGGCTGGGTTCTAAAACTGAAAAGCTGAAAATTTTCTAAACTTGGAATTTTCAAAACTGAACATTTTGCAATAAAAACGTTTTGCAAAAGCTTTAGAGTAGGTGGAAAATGGTTCCTTTTGGAAACCTACCGGCTCAAAATTATTATGAAATGTTCAACCTCTTTTTATGAAGACTCTTGCAGCATTTTCTGACCAGCTCTGGAAGCAAGATAGTCGGGCTCGCTGAAGTCATGGGCCTCGTTGGCATGAAGCAGTTTGGGGTGGCACGAAGCTGTACTGATAAGCACTGTCAGCTAATGCTCCCTTGAGAGTGGTCTCCTTCTACTGGTTTCTTTTTTGCCTGAGGGCAGACGATCGATCCTCATCCTCTTCTCTCTCAGAGACAGGGAGGGATCTTTTAATTTCCATCCCTTCCCCCAACATACCCACCATCATCCTGCTTGCCAAGGAGAAATGGATGGGGCTCCCTTTGGTCCCTGGTCCTGAACTAGCTGGTTGGGGTGGTCATTCTTGAGGTCGGGTTAACCTAAGGAGCGAAGAAGCAGATTGGAGATGCTAATCCAAATCTCTGGCATGGCAAAAATACCACCTTGGCCTGTAGGGACTGGAGCCTGGACGGGTTCCACTGGACTCAAGCTGCAGAGGGATAAAAGCCTGCAAATCCTAGAAACCAGAATCCCCAGGAGGAAGATAAATAGATTTTTTTTTTTTGATTGGCTCAGTGTATTCCTTAGCCCTTGGGCCCGGGCTCAGTGGTTGCAATGAGGCATTATTTCCCGTGGCGCTCAGGAGGAGGAGTGTGTCCCTGGCCACCCTCTTCCAGGGGCCGGACCAATGTGTGTGTTACACACTGGAGGGGGCTGATTTCCTTAGTCACAGTGACCCAGTGGCCCCTTCTGCACCCCTGGGAGAGTTTGGCCAGCGTGTCACTTTATTCCCTGATTGCAGAATCATCTGCTAAACTCCTGTTCCAATCCCCAACCCTCCCCTCCCCGTTTCTACAAGTGGGCGACCAGCATCCTGCTGAGGAGACATCAGACACGAAGGGCAGATGCCGGCACGTCACCATTAGCAGGAGTTGTTTTCTTTCACCTCCACAACATGACGGGCAGCTTGGGGTACCATCATGGTGCCACACTAGGAGCTCTTGAGCTGGTTGGGCAACCAGCTTGGCTAACACATACACGGCTCATCCGAATTGTACACGGGCTGTCCGGCATTAACGGACCCATGGGGCTGTGCCGCTCAGTCCTTGCCTGAAAGAGACACTCCTCCCCGCTGCTATGAAGTGCGGGGAGAGAGAGAGCGCAGGTCTGGTTAGATCTCCGTGGCTATGATGTCCTCGTAGGGGACATCGGTGCCATGGATATCCAGGTCGATGGGCTCTTTGCCGTCTCCCCCTGCAGCCAGTTGCTGGAGCATCTTCTCCATGTTCTGGTTCCTTTTGTACATGTGAAGGTAGCTCTGTTGCAGCTGCTTCTGGTAGTGGATCACCTTCTCCTTCTCCTCCTTCCAGATCTGTCGCTCCTGCTGGAAGCTGGAAGTCAGCTGCTCGTTCTTGTCTCTCTCCTCCTTCAGCTCTGCTTTCAGTTTCTCCACTGCCCCCTGCAGGGCTTGGACGTCGTCCATCATCCCCACAGCCGGGCTGGCGGAGGCCATCCCATCCCTCCCATCGCTTCGCTGCTCCTTGAGGATGGTCGGCTCCGTCCGGAGCTCCATGATCTCCTGCTCCAGCAGGTTCACCTTCTCCCTCAACAGCTCCGACTCATTCCTCTTGCGCTGGAGCTCATTTTCACACACCTCCAGCTCCATAGCCTTGGTGCGAAGGGAATCTTCCATGTCCTGGGTTTTCATCTCCAGTCCCTCCATCTTCCCCCTCACGTCCTTCAGCTGGGCTTTCAAGCTGAGGATCTCGCTTGTCTTGGCATTGAGCTCCATCTGGGAGTCCTTCAACTGCTGCTTCAGGAGGGAGATTTCGCCAGACTTCTGACACACCTGTGGGGGGACACCAACCGGCCAGCGTTAGGGCCACTGCTTAAAAACCACACCCCAAAGTGGTACGAAACCCACCATGTCGCTCACCCGTGCTCCATCCGATTCCAGTCCATGGTGGAGGTAGGAATAGAACCTGGGGGTCCTGGCTGAGAAACCTTCTCTTAGCACAGTTCTACACTACCAGTTGGACTTTTACACCCAGGCACCATCCCTGAATATTGCAAATAGATCAGTGACACCCAAAAATAGCTTCACTGAGGTGAAATTCAGTCCCTGGAGTGGGGCCTAAACTTTGCACTGGGTCTCTGCAGTGTCGGTCAGCATCAAGGCTGGGACTGTCAAAGAAGCCTATGGGGGCTAGGCACTCAAATACTACTGTAATTCAGATTTCCAAGGGCTCAGCATCCACAACTTGGGCCAGAATTTCAGAAGTGCTCAGCATCCAACGTGCACCCAAAAACACAGGGCTAATTTGAAAATCTGGCCCTTAAAGGTATGTTTGCACAAGCTTGTGTTGATGGGACTTGTGCCAGCACACTAAAGACAGCTATGTGGACATTGCAACACTGGCAGAGGTTCAGGGGAACTGTCTGAGCTTGGACCCAGAGCCTTGCTCCCAGCTCGGTGTACGCACACCCTGAGATTTTAGTTTCTGGGGTTTTCAGTTTAGGAGCAAATCAACAAAAATATGAAAACAAATCTGCAGATGGGGGTTGGAGGGGGAAGGGCTAATATCAATTTTGATTAGCCGCCATCCTCTAATGTACAGATTAGTCCACCAATGGCTCTGCACATCCATTTGTAACAAACATGTTCACATGTTTCATTCATGCTGCAGGGAGGAGAATGCTGCTTGAATTTTCAGCAGCTTACCTGTCTCTTTTATTAAATTTTGTATCAGATCAATAAGGAGATTATATAAAACACAGGCATGCAGTAGGAAGGTTTTAATACTCTGATGAAGTGACCCACGTCAAGTCCAGGTAGTTACTTCACATGTAAGTAAAGCAGCTTTATAGTTCCTTGGGGGATGACGGGAGAACAGTCTACAGCTGGAAGAATTGTGTGATTGGCTGTTTCATTAACTGAGTTATTTTAACAACAGGGGTTTTTTAAATGTCGTAGTTGTGTCTTTAAATGATGTGAGATGCCAAGATGTCATGAGGGGTACAGGATCAGTCTAAATGAATACATTACAAAGCTTCCACATGCCCGGCAAGCAAGAAAAATGTCTTAAATGGACATATTCTCTTATTCTGTGCCTACAAACAATGCATCCACGCACAACAGATAACTACTTTCTCAAACACAACAATGTTCAGTGCAGTGTATGTGAGGACAGAAAAACAGGCTGGCATCTAGAAAGCCCACTTAATTCAAAGACAACTGGCATTTATTTCAGTAAGCACTGGTTTGGGCCTTAGGTTCTTAAATACTAGAATTCTGGATGCTTCATAAATGCAACAGATAGTGTGAAAGAGCTCAGCCACAAAGCATTTGTAGACCCCAAAAAGGGTAACTGTGCAATCACCTGTTTGCACAGTTACTGCCTTTTGCATGCCTACCTGTGGGTGCAATCACGTGCATTTTTTTTTTTTTTTGCAGTCACAGCAATTTGGAAACCCCCACCGCCCCCTCACTTGTGTGACTTTAGTGTGTTCAAAACAGAGCACTGTCTCACCTCCCACTGAGTTTCTTCCAGCGCTGGGGCAAAGCTGGTTTTCTCTTTCTCGTAGGACCTCAGCTTGGTCTGCAGCAGGTCTTGCTCCTTCATGAGGTTCTCCAGCTCCTCACGAAGCTGCTGCTTCTCCTTTTGCAACTGGAACACTTGGAGGTGCAGCACCTGCTGCGTCCGCTGCATCTTCTGAGAGGTTTGCTTGAGCTTGCTGTTGCACTTTTGCTTCAGCCCCTCCAGCTCTTCCTTGCAGCGCCTCTGCTTTTCCTCATAGGCCTGGCAGGAGGTGATCTCCTTCTCCTCGAAGCTGCACTGCAGTTCCTGCAGTTCCCCTTCCCTCTCCAGCAGTTTCTGCTCCAGCTCCTGGATGGTGGACTCATCTGTGGAGATGGGAGACCGGATGCAGGAGGCTTTCTCGGGGTGGTGGGCAGCTTTTCCAGGGTTGAGGATCTTGTTGCCGCTGTCGGAGAAGGACAGCGCCTTGAGGCTCATCATGTTGCTGTCTTGTATGATGGTGCACTGGGTGATGTTGTGGGCTGAGCCCCCGAAGCGGCTGATGGGCCCCATAGGGGTGACCAGGGGATCCAGCTGGTAGCTGCTGGTGGTGCTGTGGGTTGGGAGGCTGGACATAGAGTTCCTGCCGGAGTCCGACAAACCTCCAGAGCACAACATGGGCTTGAGTTCTTGATCCTTCCTTTTGTCCGGAGGGTGCAGCTGCTGGGAGATATGGCTGCCATTTTCCGGAGAGGAGTGGAGGATCGCGCCTGAGCGGGGGATCACTGGCTTGAAGGCAGTTGGCCTTATAACGCCCTTCTCTGTGCCCTAGAGAGAAGAGAGATTCTGATCAGTGCATACCCAAGGACTTGGATCTTACTCCTTTCTGCTTAATCCCTTGTAGGTTTTCTAATGCCGGGTCCCTGGCAGCTGAGACTGCAGGGGATCCCATAGCACAGCTGAACCCTGCTAGCTGACTCATTGCAGGGCTGCCCCACTTGGGAGGAAAGCGAAGGGACTGAGGAGGGGGGCAGGGAGATCCCCGCCTGTAGAATTGTGCTGGCCTGTGTTCCAGTGACTGGGGGAGTGGTTTTCCCCAGGAACTGAAATTAGAGTTTGAAAATGACTAAATTGGCAACAATGCATGTAACTAGCTGACCACTGGGGGGAAGTTCAGAGTTCCAGAATCAGCTTGGCCTCTAGCCACTCTCCTCCCTTGGGAGCTTCCTTTGCTTCTCCTCCCTGTGCCTCTCTTAAGGACATAACTGCTGTTTGTTCCCAGATGCACTGAAATACCCTGTGTCTGCTGGGTCTAAACCGTGCAGCAGGCAGGGGAAGGGATGTTAGCGGTACCTCAGGCTTCTCCTCCCATTGCTTCCTTGGAACGTGCCCTGGGAAAGATGCAGCTCAGCCAAGGGATAGCTCTCTCTCTTGGCTCACCCCAATGAGAGTTGGAGCTGTGGGATGGGAACATGCAGGGGGCAGGGTGAGCACGCAGCAAACCCAATCACTGAAAAGGAGAATGTGGCTGGCTGGTTAATAAATTATGGTCATATTTGCAGTGATCTCAAGTACCTACCAGAAGGGGGGGGGTTACCCCCATTTTAGACAACATGGGGAACTAAGGTCCAGAGAGGTTCAGGAACTTACTCAAGACCACGCAGTGACTCGAGGGCAGAGCTGGGCACAGAACCCAGGCTCCCTAAATCTGAGGCTCCTGCTTTCCCCAACAGAGCACACTCCTCTCCCAAAACAGGGAATGGAGCCCAGTACCCTGTGGCTGGTGCAGTCATTTGCACCAGGGCAAAGCAGGGAGAAAACTCCACCCCTCTGATCTCCTAGCAAGTTACACTCAGTGGGCAATGGTGCAAATGGCAACCCAAGGGGCAGGGTTAAGAGCCCAGGAGACCTGATTCACAGGGCCCTGATCTAATCACTAGATCATGGGTTCATAACTGGGGCATTGTGACCATTCTCCCTTTCTTTAGGGCTAGGTGGGAGGGGAGTCCCAAAACTATTTGCCTTGTAACCTGGGATTGTGGTCCAGAGAGTGTTTGGCAATAGTGGACAAGCCATGTTCTTGGGCTGACTACCAGTGGGCACATAGCCCATGTCCTGTAGCACTGGGCCTGTCTTTTAATTATTTTGAACATCTGGGGATCACGAGCTTTGATTCCTGAGGCAAATGCATACTACTGTTTACACAGGGTATTGCTTCCTTGCTGGCCTGTGGCCTAGGAGGGATTGTTTGGCTTATTCCCGTCACTCGAAGAGCTCTGCTGTGAGCGCCCTTAAAGCCACACTTGGTCATGGAAATGTTTCAGTCCAGGAGCAAAGCCAAGCTGTTTGTAAACTGCAGCTTCTCCAGCGGCACAGACAGGGACCTGCTATCAATCTAATTCCTGGCTCTGGCCCGCAGAGCTTGACTGGAGCGCTCAGCTCCTTCGTAACCAAGTTCTGGTTTAAAGCGTAGCGGCTGCCTTGTGAAAAGCTTCCTCAAGCCTCCTCTTTACAGACTCTTGTGTTTCTCCTTTGTTGTACGTACACACTCCCTGTTACCATAGTATCTGAGCATCTCACAATCTTTTAATGCATTTATCCTCACAACCCACTGTGAGGTAGGACACTGCTATTATCCGCACTGTACAGATGGGGAACTGAGGCAGAGAGAGACTAAGGGATGTGCCCAAGGCCACACAGGAATTCTGTGGTAGAGGAAGGAACTGAACCCAGATCTCATAACTGCTAAGCTAGCACCCTGAGCTCACAACCATCTTTCCTGTTTTGTAGCTTAGCTCTACACCATGGTTTTATTTCTCTTTTCCTTCACTTTCACTGTTGCCAGGGATGGCTTGCTACTCGCAGGCCTTGGTCACGTGAACAGTGAGCAGCCATGGACCTATCAGAGCTGGGGGAATCCTGGTGGCTTCAGTTCACAGTGGGGTCTGGCAAACCTTTTATTTGGTTTCAGTCCTGCCAGCCTCCTGAGCTTCAATCTGCCCTTGAACAAAGGCCGCAACTCCGTGCAAAACTCGGCCCACCCAGCTGAGTTCTACCATGGTTTCTACCTGAAACCTTAAGGCTGCACAGTCACTATGTGGGAGCTATAAACCAGTCCCAGGCTAACTTGAGCGAAGCGTCTCGGGAAACTGCTCTGGGTTTGGAGTTTGTAATGAAATCTCAAACTAAACCATTCTTGGGGTTTGACATTAACAATTCTGCACCTCCCTAGTGGCCTTCAATTGGCTCGTGGAACTGGGAATTTTGTTTCAGCAAAGTGACTCCCCAAGTCAACCAGGGGCAGAGTTGGAAATAGAACCCAGGAGTCCTGAGTCTGCTCTAACCGCTGGATCACGCTGACTGTGCACAGCTGCAGCTCCCCTGGCACAAATAGCAGGCTAGCCTGTCTGCACTAAAGGCTTCATTAACACCACTGACTACCCCACTGGCTGAAAGTGGGGCAACCTCCCAGTTCAGACAAGGCCTTAGACATGGTGTGACTGGTCTCTGTTACTAACCAGTTCCAGCTGATTGGAAAATGGCATCAGTTTCTGGGGAGTGGGTGTGCCAAAGTCCATGCCAGTGGCCCCTGTCTGGCTGCCCAGGTCCCCGCTGGAAAGTGACGTGTAATCCGTCCGGTGGGAGCCAGGGGCTTTCTGGCTGACCTTGATGTAAAAGAAGTCCTCATTCTTGTTGCCTTTGGAGCTCGACTTGTTGTGGCTGGAGTCCTGGGAGAAGCCGAACCTCAGCAGCCCATCTGAATACCTGTTCAACTTCTTCAGGTGGGACGACTTGCGGAGCTTGTACTGGGAGGCCCGGCAGTGCTTGCTGTGGAAGCTGTGGCCGGAGATGAGGCTACTGACGCTCCCCATGATGCTCCTGGGCTGATGGCATGTAGAGGAGAGAGGAGACCCCAAGAGTGTCTTCTACGGAGGCGTCCTGGCTAAGGGCGGAGACCGGTGGTGCTGCAGTCATAGCAAAGATCTCGCTGTACCCAGGAGTTGCAAACCTGCAGGAGACAAGAAGTGAATGGAAGAGGATAGAACAGGGCAATTCAAGTGCATGGGTCACGGGGGGGGGGGGGGTTTGGGGGCGGAGGGGGAGTTCTCTGGTCTGTGCTGTGCAGGAGGTCAGGCTACAATGGTTCCTTCTGGCCTTAAAGTCTCTGAATCTAAGTGGCTGGGTCCCTTGCCAGGCTCGGCAGAGGGGCCAAGGATTGTTTGGGTCAGAGACTGCAGGTCCCTCTCTCCACTTCCCCAGGTCCAGGCTCTGAAGCACAGAGGGGGTGTGCTCCCAGTGTCCCATGGAGCAAACAGACAGCATGGCAGGCACCCGACATGGTGAACAGGGAGGGGCTGTGGGTGAAGGTACACGTACACGTACGTACACACACACACACACACAGAGGAAATAGCCAGGCTCCCTTCTGGAGCGTTTAGAATGATGTCTAAAGCCTTATCTACACTCAGGAACTGTCCTGATTCGGCAGCTGGTGCAGCTACTCCAGTGCTGACTGCTAGGGCCAACCCAATTAACTTAGCTGGGGAAAACCTGGGCTTGCTCCAGGGGTCGGCAGTGGCAAGCACTTCTGCGCCTGCATTGACTGCCTACCGCTGGTGGCTGATTCGGGGCTATTCCCACATGTGGACAAGGCCTTTTCTTAGTGACTTGCAGCCTCTGTTTGCCAGAATAGACAAGGGAAGGAGTCTCTAACGCAGCACTGGGGCATTCTGAAAACAAGATGTGTTACCTACAACAGGTCCTAGCCAGCTCTGTGGCTCTTAGCTCCTGACTCTCATTTTTATTGTACGCAGTAGCACCTAAGAGCCCCAGTTATTGACCCAGACCCTGTTGTGCCAGGTGCTGTACATGGTCAAAAATCACATTCCTAAAGCCTGGCCCTCTGCAAAAACAAATTGCTATAATGCAGCTTACACATCCATGGTATGTTGAAGGTAACAGAAAGCAGTATGTGATTTCCTGTCGTGGGGCAGTGGGAAGCTTTCTGTTAGTCATCCTGACAACCTCCTGGCGCGTTCACTGGCCCGTGCTGGAGGGCTGCTATTACCAGATTCCAAGCAGACTGCTGAGGCTTTGTCTCAAAGTACGGCAGAACTTAAATGAAATGGTTCAGCTGCACGTGGGGCTCCTGTGCATCTGTTTGGAGACCAGTGTGAGTGAGCAGAGCGGAGCAACATTTTTGACCCAAACATTTTGTGTGGGACAAACACAGTTTTGAGTCAGCTCAAACCATTTTGTAAATTCACATCCGATTTGCCAAATTGTTTTGGTCAAGGGAAAAAAAAATCCTAAACATAATATCCGAGAGAGGCTAAATGTTCTGTTCTGACAAGGTTTCAAATCAAAATGTTTTTGTTTAGCCGAGCTTCTTGTCTCAACATTTCTTTACATTTTTATTTTTTAAAACCAACAATAATAAAACCTTTATAAAGCTCAAAACTGAAAACATGTTTTGTTTGCCCTGGGACCATTTAACAAAAAAACAACAACTTCAGCATTGCCAGCGACCGAACAATCAGATTTTAGCACAGCTCTGCATATGAGCCACAGTGGAGCTCCTCCCTCTGCCGGGTGCGTGATGCTGTATAACTGGCTGAGGGGATGCTGCAGCAAGAATCAGTTTAAATTCAAATACAGGCTGCTGGCTCAGATGTGGGTTTTCTTCTCTTGGAACCTGCAACGAACAACCTTCCAATCATCAGAGTCTTGTCTGATTCAAGGAAGTTCCCTTCCTGTAGTTACCACCGCATCTGCCTCTGTCCCTGAAATATTCACTATGCCATTGCAAACACTCATCCTCTGCCTCAAAAGGGTTAGTGAAACTAACACTCATCTAGCATCTTTTAGTCAAGGCTCTCAAATCTCTGTGCTTGCTTGTCCTTTTCTTTCATTTCCCCCACCATTTTTCAGGATCAGCATCATGGACATATTTCCTCCACAAGCAACTGCTCTTCTCCTGCTCTTATATATATAATACACACACACACACACACACCCCGTTGGTGCATGCACGGCACACACACACACATCCTTGTTGCAGGATCTTAAACACTATATCGATGAGAACGAATAGGACGCTTCCAGAGTCATCAGAATCACTGTTCAGCAGCCAGTCCTGCTGGGCCCCTCTATTAACTTTACAGCCCAGCAGGCCTGCCCTTTCATCTTGTTCACTTGCGGGCACTTAATGCAGCCTGACTGAAGTCCTGCTGCCTTACAGTCCTTTATCGGTTTTCCATTATTGTCTGAGATGGTGTGAGTGCATGTGTCCGTGTCTGCACATTCGTATGTGTGAAGGGATGTACATGCATGAGCGTGTAACTGTGTGTGGGAATGCATGGGGTCCGTGGGCATGACCGGGTGTGTTCACAAGTGTGAATATGAGAATGCAAGGTGCAAAGGTTTTGTCAATGCCTGCATGTGCATGAAAGCAAGTTTATATAAGCGTGTAGGGTGAAGAAGCCACATCATAGCCAGGGGCATTGTTCGCTTGTAGCCTGCTGGCATTCCCTCCATCCCGGTTACAAAGAACAGTGACTGAAAGGACAGTGGCTGAGGAAGAGACGTACAGGGTATGTGTACGCTGCCTTGACCTGCATCAGCTGGCTTGGGCTCGGGCTTGGGACAATAAAATTGCAGTGTAGGTGTTCGGGCTCCGGTGAGGGGGCGAGAGCCCAGGCCTGAACATCTCGACTGCCATTTGACAGCCCTCCAGGCTGAGTCTCCCAAGCCTGCGTCAGCTGCCAGAGACCAGCCATGGCTGCCTTATTGCAGTGTAGACATACCATAGAAGGGCTTTTCCCTGGTGGTGAGGAAGGCTCTGTGACCTCCCACAAGCTGCCTGAATTCCCCGGAGCTGGAATCTCAAACTCCCTCGCTTTGTGGCATGGTTCCCAGAGAGCTGGATGCTATAAGCCTCAGGCTGGAGTATCTCCAAAAAAGGTATATTCCACCCTCTCCTTGGGCAGCCTTTTCCCTTGCCAAACTGTCCTCACAGCTTGCGCACTCACCTCACCATTTAACCTTCGCTTCCCCTGCTGCAGCTGAAGCTCACGGACTTCTCCTGTTCCTGCTGCCTGAGGGCTTGGCTGCACTGCAAAGTTAAGTCGAGTTATAACGGGCGTAGCCCCGAACGCGAGTCCCGTCCATATCTAAAGAGCCTTCATTCAAGTCTGGTGGTGTTAACATGAGTGAAGAAGAGGTCAGGGCTATAGGCACAGCAAGTCAGCTGTTAACACAACCCTCTGTCGTGTGGATGCAGGCTGGTGCCAGGAGTCCTCCAGTGCTGTCCCACAATTCCACCCATGAGCCCAGAGAGGACAGAAGGATTCTCCCACAATGCCCTGGGAAAGCATTCCCAAAGCAGCCCAGCGCAGCGCAGCGCTAAGAATGGTGGGCTGAGTCCCTGGAAGTCTTAGCAGCACCACACAGGAGCGAGTGCAGCGCCGGTGCGGACACAGCCGCTCGGTGTTATTTGGCAGACTGGCCGCGCTCGCTGGAATTAGCCTAGCTCCAGAGGAATGACGGGAGTGTAGAGAACATGAGTTCACTCTGCGGGGCAGACAGACCCTACGGAGACCAACTGGCCCCTGGCCCCTTTGGGGATTTGCAGGTAGTTCTCAGCTCTCCCCTCAGACGTCCAAATCAAACTGTTTTCAAGTAAGGCTGATGCCACTTGAAACAACTTCTTGAATGCAATGCACTCTGGGATACCCCTCTGCAGTGACAAGGCCAGTGCAATGCCATTTCTCCTAGACTTCAAGGTCAGAAGGGACCATTGTGTACGGTGCCGAGCGCAATGAGCTGTGGGTCCATGACTGGGACTCTTAGGAACCACGGTAATATAAACAACAGTAAGAGCTCTTTTGACGTGCTCATTCATTTTTCTCACTGAACTGGCACCTACTCTGGGAGGGTTGTGCCAGCAGCTCTACTCGGCCAGCTTTTAAAAGTAGACAAAGCTCTGCCCTTCGGGAAGGCATTTAAGCTGAACCAAAAAAACAGCCACACGTCGTGGAATAAGTGTGTCCGCTGGGGACAGAGTCCTGAGAACCAGCAGCTGAACCAGCACTCTGGTTACTGACAGAGGAAAGGTGTGCTAATGACCAGGCTGAGGAGACCTAACGAGCTAATTAAGCCATTAACTGGGGGAGTAGAAGAGAACACAGGAAGGAAGTGCTAGGGGAAGAGAGAGGGCATGGGAGTGAGCAGACAGGGTGGGTCAGAGTAAGGGCGATCTCCAGGTGGAGAGATGTCTTCCCTTCTCTCCTTTGGATGAAGGTGTTGTGAAGCTGCATAATGCTATTGATGGACTAGGACTGTACAGGGGGTGGGGTGGAGCACTGTAAATAAACTTCAGGCAGATACCTACAAAGGGGAGGGGTCAGTAATTAGAGAAAACAGGAGTGGGGGAGCATGCCCCCGTTACAGGGATTGTAGCAGTATAGGTTGTAAAGCTTTCCCATGATGACAAAGCTTAAGAAGAGGGAAGAACATGGTCAAACTGAGTTGCATTTGGAACTGGCATGTCCTTGAACCCTGAAAGTACAGTATATGATCAGCCCTAATGGTTATCGTGCCTTCTTTACAGTCATGCTTAGCCAAGCTAGACACATTCAGCTCTTTAAATCTCTCCTCCTAAGTCAGCCCCTTGCTCCCTGAGCTCTCTCCAGTTTTCAATGCTTCTTTTAACCTACCTCAAAGGGCTGTTGTGAGGCTTAATTACATTTAATGTCTGTGCAGCACTTAGGAAGATGAGAGGAATTATATATGTGCTAAGTATTATTATTATTATGGTTTGGAGGTATGCAGAGCTGTATGCTAATTCCCTTTGCTAGAAAAACAGCTCTTCAAAGCCACTGTGGCACTTGGTTCCCCACAGCAGGGGTATAATGAAGATGTACCCTCTAGATAATTCAAGGGTTGGGTGGAGGGAAGGGGGGGCACAGGTTGCTGGTGGGCAGAAATTAGGGCATAATCAAAATGAAC